CAGTACTAAAAAGAGAGCTTACTAGTCAAAAGTCACAAAAAGAGTTGTAGGATGACCCTGGATGAGACGGATTCATACATTTACTGGGGCAATGGGGGGTTGGTGTGTCATAATTAATGAGACTGGCTCAGGACAGGTCAGGGTTCAGAGCTGCTGTATATAGGGTCACTATGGGTCGCAGGCTAATTGATGACACACAACAACAACATGGTCAATACAAAAAAACTAGTGAGAGAACATGGAATGAAGTGAAGAAAACCAGACACAAAAGATCACCTGAAGGGAGCTCTGGTGGCCTACTGTCAAGAAGCCGCGCTGAAATCCCAAAGTCATGCGATTCCTATCCATCAGATGTTCTGCTGGAGAAGGAGGCGCAATCTCCTTCTGTGTTGGTCGGAACAGATTTGACAGTACACAACAAGAAAAAAGAAGGGTGCGACAAAACTGAGGTTCAAAACAAATATGCATGCTCCCTGTGGGACTTGTTTCTTAGATTTTATTCCTCCGAGTTAGCAACCTCAGAGAATCTCTGAGACACTTTGTCATGGAGTCAATTCCAACATGTAGACACCATCTCTTGCAGAGTAGGACGGGGCTCCGTGGGGGTTTTTCGTGGTTGTAATGTAAGAGAAATTAAGGGAATTGCCAGACCTTTTCAATACTTCTGGGTCTGTCCAAACCTAAGATAAGCGTAGGTAAGCAAGTAAGCCAAAAAAGTTTTGCCACCTTTTTCACTTATTGTAAAACCTATTCTTTTGCTTCGTGCTTTCAAGTCAGTTCTAATAATGCGCCTGCACACAAAGAAAAAAAATTACTGCCTGTTTGTTCACCTTCCACACTATCTTTGCTATGCTTAAACCCGTTACTGCGACCCTTGACAAAGGTTCTTCCTCCTTTTCACTGACACTCTATTTAGTAACTCCCTCCTAATAACAGGTCCAATGAATATGAAACACAATCCGACCATCCTCACTTTAAGGAGCAATCTGGCTATATGTCGTTCATATTTTTGTGGCAATCCATTGTATAGTTAGTATTTTTCATCAATCACAATTTAAAAAGCATTCTTTACCATTATTTTCTATCTTTCTTACTCATTGTCCAGCCTCCACATAAATAGGAGGCAACTGAAAATATTTTTACGTAAATCTGATGCATTTAGTCATCTAGAGCGACAGCTTAGCTCTTTTAATACTTTGAGGAGTTCATCTGCAGCACATTTGCTTAATGCAGTGTGCTTGATTTCATTGCTGCTACTTCCATGGACACTGATTATGGATCTAAATAAAATTAAACTGACAATTGCAATGTCTTCATCACCTATTAGGATGTTACTTACTTGTCCAGTTGTGAAGATTTTTGTTTAATTTCAGTTAAGGTAAAATCCATACTGAAGACTTGTACTCTTTGATCTTCTGCAACAAGTGTTGCAAGTCTTCTTTACTTTCAGCAAGCAAGGTTGTGTCATCTTCACATGTAACATAGTTAGACCTCCAAGTACTGATGTCAGTGATCTTTTTCAACCAGTTTGGTTTCTTAAATTATTTTCTCAGGGTACAGATTTAATAATCACAATGAAAGAATACAATACTGACTCATACCTTTCCTGATTTTAATTTACAAAGTATCCTCTAGCCCAGTTCAAACCACAGTGTCTTACTATGGTACATTCACACAATGGAGTATTGTAGTTGTTGTCCTTTACTGTAGAGTCAGAACCCACCCATAGCTGACTCTCCAGTGAGCTTTCAGAAGCAGTTAATCACATGGGAGGAGATTGCCCATCTTTCTCCCATGGAGCAGCTGGTGGCATTGAAGCGGGTACCTTCAGGATTGCAGCACAACTTCTTGCCACTAGACCACTAAAAACTTAATTAACATGCAAACACATCAATTACCATTTCCCACACATTGCAAGAAGTTCTGTGGCCCTCTTTAAGAGACCTTATGGTAGCCCGGTAGAAGTGACACTGACCTTTAGCCAGAGAACTCTCTGGAACTATTAAAGATATCCGAGGAAATGCCCAGTGTGAGATCAACAATGTTGATGGCCACCACCCTTGTGACAGCATAGACGACATCA